CTTGCGCTTCGTTTTTCTTACCCAAATGTCATGTTGTGGCTTGTTATGTATTTTGATATAAAAAAAATAATTATAAAGTAAAAATAAAAGATAAAAAAAAGATTATAGATAATATATAATATATTATTAATATTAATTGATATAATGTAAATTAAATTAATTATATGCTAGTTAAATTACACTACCAACAATACACATCAACACAACACACACACAATACATCCAACCAACACAATATATAGGTATATTGAAATTATCATATATTTAATAAGTTTATATTAGTACGTATATATATCTGTATATGCTTAACGCACACACAGACAATAATTCAATTCCACACACACACACTCACACACACACATCATACACATATATTAATATATATATATATCTATAATATATATTATATATATTAATATATAAATATTATAATATATAAATATATATATATATAATTTAAGATTATATGTTACTTTACTGATAGCTATATATTGTATTATATAATACTTAGTATAATATACTTATCAATTAATATGTATTATTATGATATAGATATATATAATATTATATATCTAATCACTATAGTAATATAATATTTTATAAATATATATTAATGATATATATAAGTAATTATATAATAGTATTAATATAATATTATTAACTACTAATATATATTACTATATAATAATAGTTATATATACAATATTATATATATTTATATATTATAGTCAAATATACTAGACATTATAGTATACATATTTGATATTTTTTTTTGTTTTTTTTTTTTTTTATTGTTTAATATATTAATATATTATATTATTGAGTTGTAATAATATATAAATTATCATATATAACTATTATATAATTATATATATAGTATATTTAATATATATATATAATTATATACTGATATATATTATATATACTATACATATACATAATAATATATCTTATGATATAATATTTGTATATTGGTATATAATAAATATTATCATAGTATTCATAAATCTTTATATGATATGCTATAACACCAATACAACAGACGATTATATATATATATATAGATAATTAGATTAATAGTATAATATAATGCTGTATATGTATATATATATACATTAATAGTAGCTGATCTAATAAGAGTGTCTCAGACACGGTATGACAAACCATATTATAATACATATATATATATGATATATATATATAATATTATATAATATAGATTTGTATATATATATATATTATTATATAATTATAATGTGATATCACATGCTAACATTTTACCTTTATATAGTGGTATATATTACGATAATACAATAGGTATATGACTTTACGGAGCAGAAACGTTTATACCTTATATACCTCAAATCAATAGATACAAATTAGCTATAGTATGAGGTATATATATACTTTATATTATATATAAATATATAAATTATATATATATATATTTGTATATATATTATATATGTATGTATTATGTATTATATATATATATATATATATATATATATATATATATATATAAAATATATATATATATTATATATATGTTTATATGTATGTATGTATATATATATATATATACTATATATATATATATATAATATATATATATATATATTGTATATATAGTATGTTTATATATGTACATATATGTTTGTATATGTATGTTTATATATAGATATATTTATATTGTTTATTATATATAGATATAGTATATGTTGTATATAATATATATATTATATATATATATATATATATATATACTATATATATATATTAGTATGTGTGTGTGGTGTGTGTGTGTGTGTGTGTGTGTGTGTGTGTGTGTGTGTGTGTGTGTGTGTGTGTGGTGTGTGTGTACGAGATGTGTTTAATCATAATCATTATCTTTATTTTGTTATTGTTGGATATATTATTGTTATTATTATTATTATTATTTTATTATTATATTATTATTTATTATCAACTGTAATTATTATTAATTAATTATTATTATGATCATCATTATGATTATTGTTATTGTCATTGTTGTTGTCGTGTTTGATTATTAATGTATTTATGTTTGTTTTGTTATTATTATAATTATTATTTTTTTAAATATTATTATTATTGGTATTGTTATAATTGTTATTGCTATGGCTACTGTTATTGTTATTATCACTGTCTTCTTGTACATCATAATTATCGTTATTGATCAATAGCTATGGATTTGTTACTGTTATTATTGTTGTATTATTATTATCATCATCATATCATTATCATTATTATTGTTATTATTATTATTATTATGTTAATAAGAATTATTAATATTATTGCTTCTGTTATTATTATTATTATTGTTTTTGTTATTATCATAGGTATTGTTATTATTATTGTTATTATTGTTGTTATCATTATTATTATTGTTATCATTTTTATTATTGTCGTTATTAATTTTATTATTATTATTATCATTATTATTAATGTTATAGCTACTATTTTAGTCATTGTTGTTATTTTTATTGTTAAAAATATTTTTTATTATTTTTATTATTATTATGTTGTTATCGAATTATTAGTTATTATTAATTATTATATATTATTATTATTATTAATTATATTATTATTATTATTGATTATTGTTATTATTAATATTATTTGTTATATTATTATTATTATTATTGTTATTATCATTATCATTATCATGATTATTAATATTATTATTGTTATTGTTATTGTTAATATTTATTATTATTGTTGTTATTTTATTAAGATTATTGATTATTATTGTTGTTAATGTTATTGTTATTATTCATTATTATTATTAGTTGTTATTTATTATTATAGTTTGATGTTATTATTATTATTATTGTTGATGTTTTTGTTATTATTATTGTTATTGTGGTTGTTATTATTAATATTATTATCATTTTGGTTAGTTTTTTATTAGCTCTGTTATTATTTTTGTCAGTATTGTTGTTATTGTTAATATTTTAATTATTGCCAATGTAACTTCTACTACAGCTATGATCACCATGGTTATTTTTTCATGAATTTTCCTTTAATATGTTTTTTACTTCATTCATATTTTTTTTTGCTTACAGCCATGGAGGCCCCAGTAGAATCAGACACAGAGGATGGAAGCGACGAATCTGTGACATCGCTGCCAGATGACAGTGACGATGAGGTCGACATCAATATCCACTTCCACTGCGAACATTGTATCCGCATGTACAGGTGTCACGAGAGGCCCAAACCTGGCTGGAGCTGTGAGGTGGAGCTTTGTCCGAACAGTTGTGGACAAAAGTAAGGATTTTGAGAGAGGAAGCCTGGAGAAGGGGGACAGAAGGGAGAGAGAGTGGGGCAAAAGAGAAAGAGAGAAGGAAAGAAGGTGGGTGAGAGATAGAGAAACAGAGGGGGTGGGGGTGAAAGAGAAAGAAGGCAGAGAGAGAGAGAGAGAATGAGAAAGAGAAAGGGGAGAAAGGGAAAGAGAGAAAGAGAGGGTGAGATTGAGAGACGGGAGAGAGAGAGAAATTGAAGGGGAGAGAAAAAGGAGGAGGATTGGTAGGTAATTGAGAGAGAGAGAGAGAGAGAGAGAGAGAGTCTGAGTGCATACGAGAACTATGTTAACTTGGTGAGAAAATAGGTGTCTGCCTTGTGTCACTATATACTATTATCTCTTCATTCTAGATTCCACCTTTGCAAGTTTGAGGAACATCGCTTGATGTGCAGCCACGAACGTGTGCCTTGTATAAATGCTGGCTATGGATGTCCCCTCTGGATGCAGCGAAGGCTAATATCTGAACACCTGCCAGTGTGCCCAGCCTCGGTGGTTATCTGTAATGCAGAGTGGAACCGTTGGGCCCTGGGAGCTAAGGAGAGGGAGAAAGTGTCAATGTCCAAAGGATTAATAGCTCTCTACAACACTAATGACCTGGGTAAGACTGTAGGCTCCAGTGACGTCATTTTCTGTGATGCTGGGTAATGTTTGTTATTGTTTATTGTTTACTATTTTATTCTCTTCATCACTCTTTGGTTATTCTTACTTCAAAGTTTATAGCATTTTATTCTATTTTGATTTGTTAGAAATATTTTTTGCTGGTGTGAATTGGGTGATGGTTTATAAATTCTTGATAGCCCAGGCTCTTTAAGTATTTGTAATTTTTTCCCCTCAGTGACACTAAAGAGTAAAGCCTGAGTTTGGCATCATTTCAGACATGTCTCTAGCTCTACGTGATCAGGAGCTGGTGAACGAGATGCTGACAATGCCAAAGAGACTACGCAACACCCTGTGCAACAGAATCACCCGACGCTTCCCGGCTCTGCCCCTGACAGTAAGAGGGTCAAGGCACGAGACTATCGATGAACGTTCTGGGTCTAACAAGCTCTCGAGACAGTCAACAGATGAGGAGGAAGACGGCCTCACACCAGGTTGGGGGCCATGACGTGTGTGGCTAGTGCAAGGATTATTTTCATGGGATGTTAGCAGTCTCTATATAGGCATTTGAAAAGAATTGGCTTTCTATGTTCGTTTGAAAATAGATTGATATTACAGAATCATAATGATCAAGAGAAATAAATCTGCATTTATAGTATCAGAAAAGCTAGAAGGCCTGCTGCTGTAGATACAGAGTAGATTTTGTTATTTTTTTCCACTTTATTTATAGTGCTTACTGCTTATATCAACTTTTAGAGAAAGCTTTGCTCCAAGTTTCTTCTTTTAGATACAGTGGTCAATATATCTTTGTATGCTTTGTCACAATTTTTGAACTGTATTTTTTTTTTCTTTTCTTTTTTTTCCTTTTTTTTGACAGGTGTTAATCTATTAATTTTAAAATTTTTGTGCAATTTGAATGAATTTCTTTGGGGGGTAAGCATCACATCTATTTATGTATTCCCACTGTAGAATTATGCTTGCACATAAAATAAGGCTGTGCCACAGGAGAAATGTCATATAGCTTTTTCTAATGTGGCAGTGTTTCATTTTATGTGTGTACATGTTGCACTCTGTATTCTGTTCATATGTTAGCACAATTATTGTAAAATAGTAATCCTGTGTGTGTGTGTGTGTGTTGTGTGTGTGTGTGTGTGTGTGTGTGTGTGTGTGTGTGTATGTGTGTGTGTGTGTGTATGTGAAGAGAGAGAGAGAGAGAGTGAATGAGTGAGTGACTGTTCTTCTTCAACAGTATTCTCAGCATGTAAACTGTTCAAGTGAAAATAAGTACTGCAGCAATGTTAACAGAAGAGACGTCATGCTTCTTACAATGCCTTGATATATATATATGTATATATAAATTTGTCCAATAATCTGGAACATAACAAGACTGCATCTTCTCACTACTAATCTTAAATAATTTCTAAAATGAGCTTTATATGCTCTGTAGAGTTATAACAGGCTTGTGGCTGAATACATGAATACAAGAATTATTAACCTTATGCTTTTATTAAGATATACAATATATCTTGTGTTTCATAATGACGATATTATGGGGATGTAAAATTTTGGGAATAACTTTGTACAGTAGAGTTGGAAAATTGACATCTGTGAAAGTTTTTTATACATTTATTTTACTTGAGCTTTTTTATGTTTCAACTTTGAGGTGCTCAAAAAAAGAAGAAGAAAAAAAAGAAAAATACACCTTTGCTATAAAGAAAATCAGTTTTTCTTTAATTTTCTTTTGTTTTCATATTCACAATATTTTTGACATAAGATTGTTCCTTTGCTATAAAGAAAATCAGTTTTCTTTAATTTTCTTTGCTTTCATTGTTCCCAAGATTGTGACAGAAGAATGGACCATAATAGAGTGGTTTAAAAGAAATTGTATGATTGATGAAATATAGATATGGTGAATGAACTTCCAAACCTATTTTCTTTGTCATTTTTAACAATGATGTCATAGGTATTTGTAAACCAAAATTAGAAATGGAATTTTAGAAGTTATCATGAATATGTAGATGGTTTAACTTGTTGATTACTAAGTGGAATGTGTGTGTGTGTGTATGTGTATGTGTGTGTGTTTGTGTGTGTGTCTGTGTATTTATGTATGTGTATATTGATGTTTATAACAGATAAGGGAATGTGAACCATGAGCATTCAAAGAAAAGTCAAAGCCGCAGGTACTTCTGAGTTCTTTTGTTTCTTCCCCCCTTCCTCCCATCCCCCCGTCATTTGCAGTCATCAGTGATTTTTTTTCCTTTTCTTTATTAATTGATTTATTTTTATTATCATTATATTCATACCTTCTGTTTTTGAAAGTTTCAGAGCAAAGTGATGGCCTCGTGTTTTACTTTGTTCCCACGCGTCTTTACACCCCCTCACTGCCCACAAGACCAAGACCCCACTCGATAATAAAGCGTTAGAGACATACTACAATTAACACCAAATGAGAGCAAGCAATGCTTTGCTGCTTTCACAAAACACCAAAAGTCCCCCCCTTTGAGCCTGATCAGCCCCAAAGTTCACGGCACACAGATATTCCGACCAGATCAACGTAAATGGACGGCTTTTGCTATGGCATTTATACTGCACCAAAAGGCCACGAGGTCTTTCTGTCTTAATATATCTCGTGATCTCTTTGGTATTTTTTCGCATTATGGCACTGAGCCTTGTTTTGCGCGATACGTCCCGATGCATAGGGAAAGAAGCAGGTTTTTTAATCTTTGTGCTACGCGCAAGCTGTCGAGCTGGCGTGCGGTGGAAGGGTCAATGAGGGGGGCGGATTGGGTCAGTCACAGTAAAGGTAGAATGTCGATCCAGTTCCTCAATAGATTAAATACAACAATAAACCTTGGGAAGGTACAAAGGATATCATGCACTCTCGCTATTGCAGTACATAAGTCGTAAAGCGCTATTGTAAAGTCGGTATTATTCCGGGTAGATGAGCTGCACTATAGAATTGTTAAATTGTAGGATTTAACTTGATGACCAATCCCGAGTCACACCTAAAGAGAACGCGGGTCTGACCCTAAAGAAACTATTGCCTGTCGGGCACCACCGTACTATAGAGCAAGATTGGGATGGCAAAAATGCAAATTTCTGGTTCTATAAGTTCTCACACAGGTATCAATTATAACTACAGTATTCTCCACTTAAAAAAAAAGTAACCCAACCTTCATTCATACTCGTCATTATACTAGCCTTAATGCTGGATAATTCACACCAAATGCAGCTGATTTCAAAACAAGACAAACCGACAAACATACCTTACACAAAACAGTGCTACAATCAAGACCCAGTGAGTCAAAATCACATATAACGTCTGTGACGAACCGAAGAGATGTCCAAAAGGTTATCTCCGTACAGATAATAAATGATACTCAATTTATATAACAATATGAAAAATAAGTATTGCGTTCAAGTATATCCGATGTTTAATTAATGACCAAATTAGAAAAAAATAATCGCTAGCTATTATTAAGGAGAAATTAGCTCATTAAACATAGTAATAACTATAAAATGATTTTGCATAACCCTAACCCATTTATACATCGTGACAACAATGGAACATTAATTGTTGGCTCTTAATTACTGGAATTCCATTTTATCCGTTCACTTACCAGAGGACCGCCCTGCTCAGAATATCAATAATTACTTTTTTGCTCAATATCCAACCATTAGCGCTTTACATTCCATCCAGTTTAAACGGCCCACTCTACAAGACAATCCCCACATTCCTCCTCCTCCTACTACCCACCTCCACCAGTGCCCATTTGCCCCCACCACCACCTGCCACCGTCCCTACCAACTACCACTTACCTAACCACCACACCCACACTTCAGCCCGAAAACACCACCCTGATCTCGAAGCCGCTGCCGCTGCTGATTGTATATGATCGATAGCAACACGCTAAGGAGACGCGCCGAAGGAGCAGTGGACGCTCACTATTGAGTTAACCAGTTTTAGGTGCACCAATTTCTGTCCTTAACATCTCACTTGATTTTGTTAAGGTTTTTTTCCATTGAGTTTAACCAATTAACTGTTGAAAATGTTATGTTTCCCCCTATTTCTTTTTTTCCTCCCTCCCTTCCCTCTCTAGTTCTTTTATTTCATTTGATTGAACATATATTCTTTGTATTGTTATATAATAGTGGATATTGTAGTCTTCACTCTCCTTTGGCGTAATACTTCAAGTGCATGACCAATTTGTGTGCATTATTAGTTACTCACTAGCACAGATACACAGGTTTAGGTATGAATCTAAACTTGCATAGACTCTAGTAGTACAGGAGCATACATGAACATTCACACTGTAGAATTGCGCATACAGTGTCTCTCTCTCTGTCTCTCTGTCACTCTGTCTACTCTGTCTGTCTCTGTCTCTCAGTCTCAGTCTCAGGTCTCTCTGTCTCTCTGTCTCTCTGTCTCTCCTGTCTCTCTGTCTCTCTCTGTCTCTCTGTCTTCTCTGGTCTCTCTCTCTCTCTCTCTCTCTCTCCTCTTCTTCTCTCTCTCCTCTCTCTTCTCTCTCTCTCTCTCTCTCATCTCTTCTCTCTCTCCTCTCTCTCTCTACTCTCTCCCCCCTCTCCTCTCCCCTCCCCTCCCCCTCTTTCTTCTTTCTTTCCTTCTTTCTTTCTTCTCTTCCCTTATGTAGTGGTTTATTGTATTTGAGTAAAATTTGGTAATAGATGTTGTCTTTTGTTTGGATCTATTTGAGTAGTTTAGTTTTTGTAGTTTACCCATATATCTTGTAGAGAAGTAATAGTTATGTTAGACCTTTTTGTGCATGCTTTGCTTATTTTTGATTCAGATATACAGTTCTCCACATGATATACACTTGTTCACATATACACTGAAAGCACTGTATTTCAATGCTCCATCAGAGGTTTATATCTTTTACTCATTGCTCGTTCTCAGAGTAGCATTACAAATGATAATTGCCATAAAGTGTTAGACATGGTTTTATTGCAGTTTTTCATGTATGAAATCATCCACAAATTGACAAGTGCTTAGTTACTGAAGTGGATGTTACCAGCAATATATTTGTAACTGAGGTTCTGTACTTATCTTTTACATATTTATATATAGGACTACACTCACTGGAACACACATATCCACATGAAAAATGTTTTTATTAAACTGCCTGTCTTTCTCTCCTTTTGTCTCGCTAAATTTCTCTTTTTATCACTATCTTTTTTTCCGCTTTTGGATTCTCTGCTGCCCTCCTTTCCCATCTGTTTTGCTCTACATGCATTTATCATCCCCCTTTCCTTCGTCTCTCCCTTCCTTGTCATTTGCTTTGCTTCCCCTTCTATACATCATTTCTTCTCGCCCTTCCTCTTCTTCTCTTCTCATCCAGGATAAATTGTACATTCACATTTCATTCTGATTTCTTCCCCTCAGCCAAAAGGGCAAATGAGGCCTGCAGCAAAATAACACCGATGACATATCAGCCTTTTGCTGGCGGTACATATCATTTATCTACTTCACATACACCTATTATAATATTCTTCATTCCGCGCCAATGATGTCCCGGCCCCTCTCTCTGCTTCTTCCACCCTACCTGACGCGGTCCCAGCCGTTGCGCATTTGGTAATTCATCGGCGGCGGGCCACCCAAGATTACGCCAATATCTTCATCGTTACTCGCTCCTCCCTACGTCAATCATGTCTGTTTTCAGCATCTCCCCGCCTAATGCCGTTTTAGGCTACCCGGCACCAACAGGCCTGTGCAGCCTAGCGTGCACAGTCCAGACCAAATCTCAAATCCTAAGTCAATCCGCTCCGCTATTCCCCTCGATCCCTATACATAAAACAACACGCCTACGCCCACGGCCATCGTGAAGGAATCTTGCTACCTCTGTAAAGGAGACCCACCAGCCCGACACTACAAATGGCCCAAAGTGTGGAGGGAGAGGGTCTCCTATAAGAAGCCTGGAGAGATGGTGTGGAAACAGGAATCTTGTGTCGAGAAGGGGAGCTGGATTTGGAGTTCGATTTTTCTCTCTTCTCTCTCTTCTCTGTCTCTGTCTCTCCCTCTCCCTCTCCCTCTCCCTCTCCCTCTCCCTTCTTCCTCCTCCCTCCCCTTCCTTCTCCCTCCCTCCCCTCCCTCCCATCTCCCCCTCCCTTTCCTCCCTCCCTCCCTCCCTCCTCTTTCTCTCCCCCTTCCTTCCCTCCTTTTCTCTCCCTACCCTATTCTCACTCCCCCTTCCCTCTCCCTTCTCCCCCTCTTCCTCTCCCTCCTTCCCCCTTTTCCTCCATCCCCCCATTCCTCCCCTCTCTTCTCCTCCCTCTCCCCCTCCATCTCTCCCTGAGCCTCCCTCCCTTCCTCTATCCCCCTTCCTACATGTATCACCATCAGTGTCTGATGCACAAACCTAAATTTCAGGTTAGAAAAAGAAATCCACGTGGGCAGTTTGTGTACATGAAGTATGACGAGGCTGAGGCAGAGGAAGAGGAGGAGGAGGAAGGGTCCCTGGACAAAGTGATCATCGATGATCAGGGCCGACCAGTGGGCAGAGCCAGATTCAAGACACCCCCTCCTGTCCCCCTGACGTCCAAGGCCCTCACCATGGAGCTGCCACTGAAGCACTACTCGAGACACCAGAGTAAACCGAGGGCTATGTTCACCTTCCAGTGCATGCAGGTAATTTTGTCTTTTTTTTTTAATGATTACTTTCCTGTTTATATTTTTGTTTATTTGTTGAATCCATTGGCAACGGGCAAATTTTTTGGTAAAGTTAGTTTGCTAATGCACATACAGCTAATGCACATACACATACCAGGCATTAGTAGTCATGTAGTCATGTTCAGATTTTTTTGGCCTAGTTAGTTTAACATTTAGTAAATGTAGAGAATCCTTATCAAATACAAATTTTGTTTTGAAATTATGATTTCAAGCTATTTACTTCATCTGTATTGGATAGATCTTAAACCAATTATCCAGTGAAACAGTGCATATAGGAATATCATATAGTGCATATCCTCTTTTGCATATCTCAAGCTATAAGAAAGAAAAACATACAGCACACACACACACACACACACACACACACACACACACACACACCACACAACCACACACACACACACACACACACACACACATGTACGTACAGACCTGACAGCACTGCATTATATCCCGCGACCGAATCTTTCTCTCTCGAAACAGGAAGTCCGTCGGTGTGAGTACGGGAGCCACTACCAGAACTGCCACAGTGAGATCCAGGAGGGACTGGACGGCTGGATCCTGCACAGGTGTCCGCTACATGTCCTGGGGTGTCCTTACGTCTACAACCGCCTCCACCCGGGCCGCAAGGTAAGTATCCTAAGGGAGGGATTTAGGTTAAGAAAGAGTGGCAGTATTATTCTGTCTAGCATTATTTCTTTTTATCTTTCACTTTCATTATTTTCCTTCTTTTATGTATGTTTCTGTTATAGGTTTATATAAAGAAATAATTGCAGTACTCCTTCACCATCATATCTTTTACTTTTCTGTTTTCTACCTCTTTCTTTTTAGTCTCTTTCTTATTTTTTATTTCTCTCTCCCTCACCCACTCCTTCTCATTCTTTTTCTTATTTACTCGCTCTTTCCCTATTTCCCTCACCCTTTACTTTACATCCTTGTTCTTCTTCACTTTCTCCTCTATTACCTTCACCCTCTCATTCTTCTTTATCTTCTTCCTTTCATTCCCTCTTTTTCTTCACCTTTTCACTCTCTCTCTTTTTTGTTTAATACACTTAGAATATACCTAATGTATTCGGTCTTTTTTCTCTCTCTTTTCCATTATTTTTCTCTCTCTTTTCGTTTTTTCTCTCTCTCTTTGTTTGGAGTTCTTCATACAGCTAAGACTGACTCTGGTATAAATACATTACAGGATGGAGATGTCATCTACTGCCGTGACCTCCGGGCTTTTGGGATCCGGCCTGTGCTGGAGTACGAGCCAGCTCCTTGTGGTAAGTGCACGTGGTGGAATTAATGCCCTGTGGTTGACGGTTTTTGTAATAGGTAAGAATTGATGTCATTGGTGTGTGCTATTCAGAAAATATGCCTTGTGAATGGAAGTAAGGTATTTGCTAGGTTTATGTTGCAGGACAGAAGAGACATATAGGTTGTAATTATATCTATTTTAGAGTTGAATCTGTATTTTTTTGTTATTAGTTTTTATGTGCATTATTTTAAAACTCTTACCACACATTTGGAATTTTCAAAAACTTTCATTTAAACCATTGATCGTTCATGCCTCCTAACCAAACTTGAAAGTTTCTCATGCACATCCAACCCGCAGGAGGTCTCCCAAGATCGCGGTCGCCGAGTGTGGAGAAGACGACCTCCGCCCTTGGCCAGTTGAGCCTCCTTCACTCTCACAAGGCCATGAAGGCTATCCCAGAGCACCATCGGACCAAGAACTGTGAGAAGCAGTACTACGCCTCGAGCACAAACCTTACCTACTTACCTATTGAGGTTCTACAGCTTATTGCCAGTTATTTGGATGGATTCAGGTGCGCTGGGCTCTGAAGTTTTGTAATAGAGTTTTTTGCTGTTAACGTGTTGTGTCTCTATCACTATAGTATACTATATCATACTATAATCACTATCTCTCTGTCTGTGTCTGTCTGTCTGTGCTCTATCTGTCTCTGTCTTTGTCTGTCTCTGTCTGTCTGTCTCTCTCTCTCTCTCTCTGTTTGTGTTTATATAAATGTATATGTCTAACATTAAAGTCTGTTTTTGTGAATAATAAGTTATGTATAATGATAATTGATTTTCCTCATAAAATTATGCTGAACTTATTCATATATTCAATTATTAAGTCATTATCATTCCAAAAAATTGAAATAGAAGTTCCATTATCCCATTATAAAATTAATTATTTAACATTACATATTATTATATAAGAATAGTTACTAATAAATGATATAATCATGACCATTCAATTATTTAGCCATATAGTTATTATTTATGTATGCATATAAAAATTAATGTGATAATGAATAATAATTATGACGAATAAAGAAATATGAGATATGATTGACAAATTAATCATTACAAAAATATATGACCTAATATTAAATAATTGTATGATCTAATATTTTAATAGTCTAACTAATAAGTACAATATATATTTGTATAAGGTTAAAATATTATTTCTATCCTTTTAGTAGTATTCCACATATCTATATACTCTAACAACCTTCCTATATATTTACCTTGTATTATATATAATATATATCTAGTATTTAATAATATATATAAATATGCTATATACATACATGACGATACGTATATATAATAAATGATATGTGTCTCTTCTATATATATTACTCTATAATAATAATTAATATATGAATAAACGACCGATATAGCTACCTTGGTTATATTCATGGATAATTTAGGTTCCACGCCGTACATTGAGTGAGTAACGACATAAATGAATAGTATATGTATCGATGAATAAAACAAAGGAGGAGAAAGGTGAGTGTTGTGTCGGACTTGATAAATCTAGCATATGTGTATAATATATAATACTAAATAATAGGTGTTTGTTAAATATAAGTAAGTAGTGCATAGTTGACTAAGTGCGTAAAGTTATTTATTGTGATATAATGACCTTACATATATTATGTATAGAGGTAAAATAAGCCGTACTCGCTTCCCCTTATATATCACTGAAATTTTATTCATTTTATGTGTATATGCTTTATAGAGCAATCATCTAGTAAATATCTGATAAACCAAATAAAATGTTTTGCAAAACTCTATTTCCATCTTTATTCCAGCTTACTGTTTTCTTCATCAAAATCTTATTATTCGAAATGTTAATCATAGAGTAGGTATATTCTTTAAATTAATAAATTATAGTGTATCTATATAACATCACCCTTCACATTAAATATTAAAGGCAATAAACCTAAACTTTAACAATAAATTTAACTATACTCACAGATTTAACAAGAAAGGTAAGTTATTTTATAACTCCTAATATATGACAGCAACTTACGTAATGTAATTGTAAAGAACATTGTAATTATTATAATAATCAATAAGAGCTAATACTCATAGTTTGTCAATATGATCAGTAACATCGTCATGTTGTTTAACTAAACTGTGAAATATAAGTGTGTTCAGTATTAATTAATTTGTAAAATTTATAAATATAAGTAATAATGAGCTCATATATAATAATAATATATATATAAGAGAATATTATGCATTGATTAATATTTACATTTCAATTTTCAAATAATAAGTTCTTGTTTACAACGCACTTATATTCTTAGTATATTAAGTTGGTGAAATTAATAATATATATATACATATATACCTAATAAAGAGCAATTCTATAAATAAATATATTATATACGTGTCATTTGATAAATTCATATTATAATAATATGTTAACTATATATATGGTATGATCTTAAGCCTTAATTAAATGTTATAATAAAGTCCTAGGAAGATAAGTAAACTTGAAAATAACTAATACATGACTATAACACTATTAACAATATTTAAGTAATTTATAATAAAAACTTTTTCTTTATAATACACAGTAATATTATCTATTCACCAAGGATAACATTTGCATACAGTCCTTCAACCAAGTGAATAAGCGGCAAATTGTTAAAGTAAAACGTTAAGAAATGTAAGATTTTGATCTCATAACTATAACCGCCCTAAATAAGTATATAGCGAAATTAAATAAAATAAGACAGCACCAATACCAAATAAAGTGCAAGGACCCAATGGATGTATAAAACTAAGGAATAAATGCATTGTTAGGATTTTTAAACTAGCTGAGTATATACATAGTTAGAAAATAAATATTTATATATAATATGCCCATGTTAAAATATTTGAGCATATGTGAGTTTACACTTACTCTCTTGCATTCGTCATTATATTCTATCACTATCTAAACTCTATATCTATGCGCTCAATCACTCTTATAACATATCTATCACTCTTCTTACTCTATCTATTAAAATACTATCTCTCCCTCTCTCTCTCTCTCGCTTCATCTATCATCACCTATCTACCTACTATAATCATTCCATTTCCTATATATTCTACTATTATACCTCCCCTCTCTCTTACCTCTCTCTCTCCTCTTCTACTATCATATCTTCTTACTCTTATTAGTCTCCTCTCTCTTCTCTCTCTCTTCCTCTCTCTCCTCTCTCCTCTCTCTCTCTCTCTCTCTCTCTTCTCTCATTCTCTCTCTCTCTCTCCCTCTCTCTCTCTCTCTCTCTCTCTCTCTCTCTCTGCATATATATATATATATACTATATATATATATATATATATATATATATATATATATATATATATATATATTATATATATATATATATATAATATATATATATATATATATATATATATATGTATATATATATATATATGTACACATATGCATGTGTATGTATATAATATGTATTATTTGTTTTTGATGGAATTTTGTTAAAAGTTTGCCACACACACTTTCAAATACACAAATACAGAAAAAATAATTCACATGAATATCTCATTGCAGATGAATTCTTTAAATGTTATAGTATTCGCAGTGTGCCAAGTACATAGTTCACAGTCCAAGCCATGCTGTGAGGTATTTTTTTCACAGCGGAAAAGATTCCTGTGCTTGAACCCAGTGGTGACGGTACCTGATTTATTTGTGATGTAATATTACGCAACAGTCTAGACTTTGTGGCTAGCTGTGTACAGCTGTCCACCTGCGCGCGAGGCATGACGCGTATACACGTCATAGACTCTTACATCATGATGGCTATAACTGTACCCGTCACTGAGGGGTCAATACAATAATAATCCATTGAAGAACATGCTCTCTTATCCTGTAAGATGTAATGGAAGATACCAAAGATCCTCCTCCTCAGTGCCGGTAAAACGTAGTGTCAGGCACGTGGAGCTTCATCTCTGTGTAATTTATATGATTGTCCATTCGTATTTGTTCGTCGATGAGATTTGCAGCCCGGCCATTTCTGTGGTTTTAATCTTTTGGGTTTGAAATGACTTTGTGAAAAGGGCCACTTTTTAAATTGTTATTGTTGCAGAGAGATTGATAATAACTTTTGAATGACCTGATATATTGATTATGATAATGTATTTCTGTTACATGGTGTAAACTGTTAATTTATATAGTAGACCAATCTTCTTTTTAACAGTGAATTACAAAACATCCCACTTAAAGCAAAACACAGACAGACAACGAAAGAGTGGTTGATATTGTTTTTCTTGTTGGCATTGTATGGTAAACCTGATAAAATTATACTGTATTTGGTTGCTGGCTGTTTTATATAGTTCAAGAAAATATTGAACTTTGTTTTTTGAGAAGAGTGTATATTGCAAAGCAACTTTGTTCATATATAGAAAGTGTGTTCATGACATTTGGTTATAATAATATTTCAGTTATATAGGATAATAGAAACAGAAATGTAACAGAAGATAATTAATTGTAAAAAGTAAGTGTATATAATGGTTATTGCATAGATTGTTTTTCTTCTTTTTCATTGGAAAATGAAGACACAGCATAGCAAGAACTAACAATGATTTGGATTAGTTATTTATGACATTCTCACTTTACAATCATTTCTTGCCATAGGTGCATAATAGTATAGCATTTGCTTAGTTTAGAGGCAAAAGGCCATCTTAAGTAGATAGGATAAACCCACCCATGGTTTATTTTAACACTCATGGGTAGATGCAATCATATCTTTCATTTAGAAGCTGTTCATATGTCCAGGCGGAAGCTTTCAAGTGTGTTTGTTTTCAGGTGAAACCTTCAGCGTCATGTGTGATGAAAGCTTGATGGATGAAGTGTGTTACTTAGGTAGTTGAACAGCTTCATAACATGAATAGGAACATAACGTTGCCTCTCGCCACTTCATCGTCTGATATCAGCTAGTGAGACTGTGGGCTTTCATATCGGTAGTACAGCATGTGTTTCTCTCACTAAGATTTTATCATCATTGAGAAACCGTTGTTTGAATAAAAAGAGTTAGACGCTGATTTAATGATAGACTTTTGAGATTTTTAGATTGTAATGATTGAGTGTAGTTGGGAAAATATGTGATTATGTCTTTACTATTTATGTCTTTCATGTGCTTCTGCTCATACCATATCATGATGGATTATCTTGTCAGGTTTTAAACATGTTGACAGGCTTTTTTGTTTTAGATTTTTTTCTAGCTTGACTTCATTTGTGAAATTAAGCAGGAAGTAATTCTAACCAACTAAATGAAGGATCACTTCTGTGTATAGATGATTAATTTATTATTTCAGCATATATGTTATGATTTTTTGTGCAATTCTACAAAATGGAAATGCAGAAACTCACAAAAGGGTCTCCACCCCCCACACACAAAAACAAAAAAACATTCAAATACATAAAAATGTACACAGACATATACACAGTCATATGAAGGACTACACATGGATGTATGTTTAAAAACTATTTGTACCGCTTCATGTGCTTTATCTCTGATTAGTAATATGCTGTTTTAGGGAAAAATATCTCTTTATTTATATTACTATTGGTACCATTTTTCAGGCGGATTTCTTTTGAGAGATTGCAGAAAATTGTTATTACAGTCAGCCTTATAAGCATTCTCCGAGCAGGCCAAGAGCTTTAAATAAGTATCTTTATAATAGGTGGGGCTTGTAATACAGTATGTATGGCTGTGATCACTGTAGAATATCTTTGGAGGACTAGGGATTTAACTTGAGATGGGTCCCATTTAAGTTAGCTTCATTACTGTTGAGACTGTTAGTTGTATATAGTGATAAGATTCTTAAATCACGGCATTCTTGTGGAGGTTTTACTTGGAATGACAACTTTTTTATGCAAAATTTATTATTACTTTTTTACTAGTACATGGAAAATTCAGTGGGTGTTATGACCAGAGAAAACTATGGAAACTCTTTTTTTTTTTTTTTTGCAAGGTCACAATTGAATGGTTTGTTTTTGAGAATGTATAACACACACTCACTCTCTCTCTCTCTCTTCTCTCTCTCTCTCTCTCTCTCTCTCTCTCTCTCTCTCTCTCTCTCTCTCTCTCTCTCTCTCTCTCTCTCTCTCTCTCTCTCTCTCTCTCTCTCTCTTCTCTCTCTCTCTCTCTCTCTCTCTCTCTCTCTCTCTCTCTCTCTCTCTCTCTCTCTCTCTCTCTCTCTCTCTCTTTCTCTCTTTTCTCTCTCTTCTCTTTTTTTTCTTTTTTCTCTTTCTTCTCTCTTTTCTTCTCATCCTTAACTCTAGAACTTTTACTATTTCAATGCCCCCTTTTGATTTTTCATTTTCCATTGCTGTGGAAAGGCTGATGAAAGTAAAGTGATATTTTAATCAACTGATATCAAGAATGAGTGTTTTTGGTATTATTATTAATACAGGATTTCATTGTTTTCCACTTCTATATTAATATCTATAGATTGTTTTAGCCTACATATCCCCACAAAATCCATGAATGAAGTAGTAGGATAGTGTTATATTACCTAAGTGACCTCCTTATATAGTTTGGTAAGTCTCATAGATATTCTTCATTTTAGATTATTAGACTTGTGATATATCATTTCCTGATGGTGCCTATATAGTTTCTTTTTCTTTTTCTTTTATTTGTATTAATGCTATCAGCTTGACTACTTATTTGACAAAACGGTTCCTAGTGGAAGGATGATTGCTATATAAGGGAAAGAAGCTTTACGGCTGTCACAATGATGGTAGCTTTACGTTATTTTTGTTATTATTTTGAAATGTGAGAAGCTTAAACATACAAAATTACACATGTCCATGTAGACACATATAAAAACACTAACACACTGTTACACATAAACAGACAATATCTTGTAGTGTGGAAGTATATGTTGATGATGTTAAAAAGTTAGCAACAGATTTTATGGGTGTTTATGTATTTATAAATTTATATATGAACGACTGTTTATATATATATATATATGACTTGATTTTACACATGGTTTGAGTACCATGTTCGAGATGTGATATAATTTTTGATAGCCTGGCTTGAATAAACTAGTCTACGGGTTCTTATTCAAACTAGTATTACTTTGAGCTTATGTTAAACCTCCCGATAATATGAAAGGCAAGAGAAGCCATTCTGTTTTAAAGATAATTATATTATAATGATATGGGTTAATTTCAAGAATGAATTTTGGTCATATGACAAGGTGGTGTTGCTACGTATGTGAGAACTTTGAATACAATAAGAAATGTAGTTTGTATTATGTTGTTTTCCATACTAATTATGTAGTGTTATCTGATTTTGCAGTTAATTGGATTTTATTGAAATTTAATCTTTTAGTGTAAGATAATTTTTAGGTAAAAATACCCTGTCTCTTTGAGTCATGATGCATTTTGTGAGTTTTTTTGTATTTGGTTATTTCTTAATTGGTTTTCATCCCTTGAAATTAGTTTCAAAAGTGAAATGTTTAACTGATTCCTAATAATCAGTTCCTCCTTAGAAGAAACTTTTGTGGGAAGTTTAATCTCTGCAGTTGATTTATAATCTTGAAACAGTTTGACGAAGCAAACAAACAAATGAATAAAGAAGAAACATACTGAATCAGTTTCAGATCAGTTGCTGGACAGCTGATGTGTCTGTGTGAGTGTAAAGGTACATAAGCCAGCATTTTATAGTAGCATCACATTTGAGGGAAAAAAAAGAAAAGAAAAATAAATAAAGATGAAACAGAAGCTAGAATTATGGAATTTTTGATACAGGGGCATATATCTATGAGAATACTATTTATCAGAAAAATATCAAATGTAAATAGTAAAATGATTTCTTCTTTCTATTAGAATTAGAAGTTTAACCAGTCTTTTTTCTATTCTTTTAGCAGTTGTTATTAGATTGATAACAATAGGCACCACGTAGCTACCTAAAACTTGAAAGCTTTAATTATATACAAGACAATATAACAAAGGAGAAAGACCTTTTGAAAAAGAATTGCTGAAAGCATATATATCTACAAACAAGTGCATAAATCCCCACAGAGTCAGAAATGGAAGATGAAGAGTACAGTTTAGAACAGAGGGAAAATATGAGCTGATTTAGGCTGACTTTACAACACTTTGAGTAATATACAAATATACTAAAACTGTGATTGTGGGACCAGTTTGCAAATCATTTTGCATTTAAGCCATCAGTCCTTGCGCTGATTATTGGTTATAGAAATGTGATTTTGATGGGAGGTAATGACAGTGTTTCAGTAGAAGTAGATTTATATGACATAATATCTGTGCTTTAGATTATATGCTTTGTAATGTCTTTTAAAGCAATTGTTTTTTTAACCTGTAAAGGGGCAGTTGCACCTTATAGAATGTGTAGTTCTTACCATCATAGACTTTCTTAAAACCCATTTGTAAAAAGGCAACATCCACTCATCATTATTCCTGCAAAGTGCTGAAGTTCCCCCAAGCAAAGGCCATACCTGCCTCCCTTTCTTATAAACTTGGAAGTTACTGGCCAAAGAATTTATATTTTTGTAAGAATTTTAAATAAATGATCAAGCATGAGTGTTAAGACAATAGAATTAGATTAGTAAAGTAATATCATATGAGCTTATCCAGTATTAGTGTAAAAAAGAAAAAAAAAAGTTTCACACTGTCCTGTAACTTCTAATATGTAAGAGAGAAACACACGTGATTTGGACTAGCCTGTCTAATGTTGTTGACGACAGGTAATTCATGTGTGATCATAGAGTTACTATTATATATTAATTGGAAGTTTATAATTTTTTTCTAATAAGCAGATATGTGTACTGACTTGTGTTTTGCTACAGTAATGATTATGGAAGTAGATCTGTTATGCAGCTGTTTCTAAATAATAGCCTGTATTAGGAATTCAGATTAGAGAATCTAGACTAACATAGAAAGAAAATGTATTCTTCAAAGAATATATTTATTTATCTTATAGAACCAAATTATTAATTATTCAACTAAAACTGTAAGGGTATAATGATTTTTAAAAATACATTTCTATATATATATATATATTTCTCTCTATCGCTGTAGTTTGTTGAGCCCTGTGTGTGTTTCTAATATTTTCCTTTTATAAGTTTTATATGATTTCTTTTACATATATAAACTTTTTTTTGTTAAAACCAGATGTTTGACAGGTTATAGTCCTTTTTGCTTTTCGCTTTTATGTTTTAGCTACAGTCTTAGACTCCAGGAATTATTAAAAGGTTCAAGTTTTCTGTTTGTAGATTGCCTTTGGTTTGATCTTTTATATATTGACAGAATGTTATATTGATATATTTATATATTGACATTTATATATTGATCATTTATATATTGACATTTATAATTATTATATATATTATTTATATAATTTATATATTAATCATTTATATATGACAGAATTCTGAAACTTGGCGGTATTTCCGTGACACCCAAGTTATTTAGATCATGATTTATAGTGTTTAGTAGGAAATTATTGAAAATATAGGAATAAATATTTTATTTTATTAATGATTTCACTTCATTTATTTTTATAAATACGTGGAACACCATTTATCGTAATTAACGTCTTGGTCCGTGGGCAGTCTGTGGACATCTGAGTAATAGCTGACAAGTTGAGTTCGCAGTGTCCACTCCCCACCTGAAATCTTTCTTTGTCAGCTTCATGGGAAATCCCTCATTCTGCGTCTTATCCCCTGGAGTTCGTGTTTGAATCCTGTAACTTATTTTTTGGGGGGTGATGTCATTTCGTGTTTCTCTTTCTTGAATAAGACTGTAGCTAATTTAAAAAGGATGTTTGGTTTATATAGCCTTAGCAAAAAAAAAAAGGATTTATATTATATATATATATATATATATTATATATATATATATATATATTATATATATATATATATATATATATATATATATATATATATATATATAATATGAAAATTTTAGAGTCAATATTCTTGTTATTATTGTTTTCTTTCCTTTACATATGTTTATATTTTTTTCTTTTTATGTAGCTCTAAAAGTTTCAGCTTTAAAGATGTGTAAAGCAGTGTGTATATGTGCTTATAATCAGTTTTTATATTCTTACTATAATATTTATTTGGTTTTGGTATTTATTTTATGTATTATTATTTTCTTCTTTCCTATGTAACATAATGATTTCCTGATTTGACAGCATATAAGACGCACACTCCCCCCGCCCCCACCCCATGGCTCAAAAAATCACCCCAGACCGTGCTAAGATGCGGACTTTCTTAATCCCTGAACATATCCCGCTGAAATGGGGGAGCAGCTGATGCACCGGTGTGTCCTATATGCCATCAAATGCGGCATATAATTCTTATAGAGGTGCTTTAAACAAATAATTGAGTCCAGGATTAATTATATTACTTAAAAGGTTAGAGCATGACTTTTCCTATCATTGTCCATAACTACTTTTGCCTCTACTTGAATAAATGTGGATTTGTTAATATTATCCGTGGAATTTTTTTTTCTTCTTGTCTACTTAAGTTTCGTATCTGTTGCAGAAACTGTTCTCACGTCTAAGCATTTTCGCCTTGATATTTTAGTATAAAGGGGACATGTAAAAAGAAATTAATGTCATAATGCAGATGTTATAACTCTTTAAAAAAAAGTTATATTAATATCATTGTGAATGTGTAGAAAATAATTATTCAGTCCCTGCTCAACTAACCTATTTTTAGGCATGGGAAACTTCTCTCAGTGTGTAAAAAAAAAGCTTTCATAAATCTTCATAAGACATTTCAAATTTTTATAATGTTTAGGGGTAATTTCCATTGGGGAAGTAACTAGTTTGGTGCAAAATGTTCTTTACCAATGCAGTAAAAATGCAGGAAATAATGAACTATGGTTGGGAAAAAAAAAAAAAAAAAAAATCAATTGATTTCCTTGATTATAAATATGCGGATATCCTTTGACTGATTCAACGGACTGATTATGACTGGTAAGCTTGATTCATGTGATAAAAATACATAGGTTTATTGACCACAAATGACTTGATGCATCAAAAATGGTCTAGTTCCAAGACACATAGGATATGGAAGCTTGTATTTTGCAGACAAACCTCAAGACAAACTTGGAGAAAAATTAGAGAAGGTAGTTCGGGTCAAGTGCTCATGGTTAAGAGTAAAGATACTTGGTGGCCATTAGCACGGGACGTTTTGTATGAGTTACCCATTAAATCATAACATCTTTGCCTTGCTCTGAGAGTGTCGCCGTAGCCATTGTGATACCTAATGAACTCCTGTTCGCATTCTCTTTATAGAAAACTTTTTATCTTTCTCCATTACTAATGTGGATATTGGTGATATGTGGTATTCATTTATTAAGCATTGCAGTTCAAATGTGTCTATCCTTATCCCCTTCTACTTGCGTTTCCCTATATTAATATGTCCTATTCCGTAATTTCTATATTTTATCTTAATTTTGTATTTTTACCAGTACTGCTCTGCAGGGCTGTCAGCTTTTCCTTAGCAGCATTTCTGCCGTTCTCTAAACATCAGATGATAAAGAAAACGGATATAAATAATAATAGACCATATACTATCATAAACGGATTAATATTACATTACAGGTACAGTGCGTAGGATCAAAGTCTGGTGATTAAAAGAGTCCTGCGTTTCTCTCTTCATAGAAAATGTAGTAAATGTATGACTTAAAATGTGACATTGAACTTGTAAACTTGATTTGTCTAAAAAGTATACTACTAATAGTGAGTGTGTTGTAGGGCTGAAGGTTTAAAGTCACTCTATGGGACTGTGGCTCTGCCTTTGATGATGCCCAACTGGCAGACCAAACATCTGAAGTGACGTCGGTGTGCCACATCATATCAGTTCATAATTCTCATGTATAATTTATTTGAACATGGGGAAAATATCTCGTTGTTTAAAACTTTTCTTTCGCTTCAAAACATCTGTTGTCATACAAAGTAACAAAAGTACGGCCTCCGGAACACAATTCCATAGCGACGTCACCATCCGCCAGTCGTCTTTTGCTTCCGTTTAGCAGACTAATTTCCGTAGAATTCCAGCCCTGATACTGCTAGTCACAAGCGCAGTGGTCAAAGTTTACTGGTACTAACTGGATGCGACTTACGAGTGGGAGTGGATTTGTTTCCTTCAAACATTTGCATCCAGTTGTTTCACACGAGAAGACATTGTGGCTCTTTCTTCCTGTTTCATGGTGCAGGAGAAAGAGCAGTTTTTGTCGCGATTGATGCTTGTAATGGTATATTGGCATTAATTAACACGAGCTGATTTATTATTCTTCACCATTAATAATTGCACGTCTATTCTCTCTGTCACAGAAATAATGACTTAACTTACAGAAATCATTATTTTCTATAGCTTTTCTTTTCTGTGCAAGATAAATTATTTGATGTGCGCTGAATCTTTTTGTCTGTCAAATGTTACTTAAATAGATGATTTTACTGATCATGCTACTTTTTAGTGATAGTATTATAAAACCGAAAAAAAGTTTTACTTTATGCCATTACAACCTTTATTTGCCAAGTTTCATCAAAATGAGACCATTCTAAACTATGACATCTAAACACAAGATGTCCAAATCATCATCACAAGCAAATGAGACCAAGAAAAAGCAAACACAGAACTCCAGTGAGTTAGGCTTTATTAGCAGACTTATTCTGTACAGTAGTGGACACGAAGGTCGACAAAGATCCCTGAAACAGGTGTGAGCGGAGAAGCTCTCATTAACCAATCAATTTTTGCGATACTAACATGGAAGTAGTTGTTCAATGTGATACACAGATGGGAGATTTATATATGGATGATAAAAGAGATTTACAATGTAAAATGGAGATTTTTGCAAGACAGTGGAACTCTACAATAGCATTGTAATTCATGCTTGACCCCTAACTGCTAGAAGTTCCACTCCACCCACACCTCAGTAACTACATCCATTGTTTTGCCCAAAAATTCCCTTTTCCCAAAATTGTACAAATGTATAGGAGCTCATCAACTAGCAGAGCTGAGACAACACTTAAAAGTTACACAGGAGAAATTATAGTCTTAGGTGATTTATACACTACATACAAATACAACTCCATACGTATTAAATAACATAAATAGAACTTAACTATAAGCAACACAGTGCTAGATTTACATTGTAGGAAAATGGAGAAGCCCATATTACAGCTGCATACAGTACAAGGTTCTCCTATTATCATCACTGCATGACTAACTAATTTCTCTGATATATGATAGACATCTTGCTTTTTTATAAAATTCTTTTTTCTCTTTATAAAGGACAAATAATTCACACGAAGAATGAATAAGTATGTTCCATGCGTAATACTGAGCACAAACTAGAATGTGTCACTTGAAAGAAAAAAAAAAAGAAAAAAATCTGTTGAATGTTTAGTATGAAAAAAGAGCATGGGGGATCAACAAGGGAGGTCGAGAGAGGGATGATGGGGTGGGCGGAATCCGGCGACAGAACTCACGGCTAACCAAAAGGCGATGGAAGATGATCGAAAGAAAAGAAAAGGAGAGAATATTCTTTTAAAAAAGGAGAAAAAAATCTTAAAACACTATTTCGGCTGGGCTCACGTTAGACTCTCGCCGCGCCGAGCCTCTGCCGCTGGAGTCTGGCTGGCCGTGAGTGCTGTCTGCGGATTCGGCTCTTGGTGCACAGCCTTCTGGTATGGATATTGTTCAGAGTTCTCGGCTCAGAGCTCACATTGCATGTTTTTTAAATATTTTTATTTATTTATTTAAGCCTTCCACAATGCGAGGACATCATAAGGACTTGTAGTCAACAGTATTGGCAGATAATTATCTTTAAAAATGTGGAACGTAATTCCTTAGGCACGCCCATTTCAGGTACAATTTGTTGAGCATTTAATTCGTCATTCCTCGCACTCCTCCAGGGTTTCCGAAAAAATATCATCTGAAGGGGGCTTCTGCTCTCCATATCCACCTGACATGAGCTGACTTGGGCACAGGAACACAACACAGAACTGAAATCGCGCAAGAGCAGGAACAAGTATCAGCTTCTAGTGGCTTAATTAGCAATCGTAGGTCTCGGTCGTAGAATTGATCATGCAATCATCATTTCCTTGCCATCATAACCGTACTTACACAATGATCCATGTGTTCGTTAAATTTATAGTTGTATGCATAAATCAATTTGGTACAGCCTAAAATTTTGCACATGTGAACCAACTTGATAGACACAAGAGTAATGACAGACCCAGTTGCCAGAAATTCATTTCACAAAATGGTTACGCGAATGAAAACGCTTTTGTTACAAACCTTTCCCAATCGATAAAAACATTACTTTCTCTTTCAATTCATTGGCCTGTCCATTACAAATGATATTACTTAATACTACTTTAACATTGGTAACACATTTATGTTGATAGAGACAAAAATAAATATATTAACAGAATGAAGGAACACTAAACTATCCCAAATGAATTTGAGGAATGCCCTGTTTTCGGTAATTCTTGTATAAAATCAAGAAGAGAACTCTCAATTATGGTAAACTAAGTTTCAAAAATAATATTGATTGTGTATATATAAACTCATTCAACTTATAATTAGAACTTGCCATAATGTCCATACATGGATTCCTCTCTCCTTTAAGACAATAGTGAATCATGTAGGACATTGCAGAATATTTAAATTTAAATAGAAATCAGTTTTAGGAAACATAATGCATCAAATAAAAAAAATACTGTAAATATATATATATATAAATAATAACAAAACTGCTGACACAAATCATTCGTAACAATGCATGTGGGAAGATATAAATCTGTAAGCTCCAAGAGAGAGTTTGTGAAGTTGTAGATTCTGTGGCAGTTGAGATTATCACAAGATTAAACACTCACTTACGGTGGCAGTGATTGGAAACCTCTTATTGAAAGACACGCACACGTACACATACACGGGAGTGAAGTCATACGCCTTACACACGTGCGCATAAACAGATGAATGAACGGACGCGTGCTTCAACGGCACGCATACGCACGCACATATGCTTACGCGCACACACAAACACACGAACGCGTGCACACACACATACACAAATGCCCATACAAAGGTGTGCATTTGTACACATACGTACATGAACAAGCATGCATGTGTACCAGTGCTTGTGTGCACACAGACAAAATAGCATGCAAGCACACATATATGCACATTTCTATTACAACTTAGGCCAGTCTCTTGGCTGGTAACTTTGAAGGAGAACATAATGTGTAGGCAAGGCTAATAAATAAAAAATGGGTAGTACCATGAACCACACGCAACTTCTACTACCCCAACTACTGCTACTTCAGCACTGGTTGTTTTACCTTCGTGGCAACCACTAACATTATTTTGAGGAAACAACATCCTGGGTTGTGCAACTGCACGAGTCCTGATGCACTTGACGCCGTCGCGCGGCAGCACTTCGCTCACACAAGCCAAAAACACTTTTCCGTCGTCAGTGTCGCCGTTCCCGGGTCCTTGAGTTCCATGAGATCAAATCATTATGCTTGGGCGAGTGGCAGCTCTCGAAGCAGCTTATCGTTCTGGTTTCTTTTCTACAGGGCGCTTCCAAACAATCACACAGACCATACACTTTCTCCTTTCATTCGATCTAATCAACATCTCGTAATGCCCATTTCTTGCACTGCAACAACTTCCAAGAATCAGGTGTGAAAAATACGGCCTCACGCGACTATACGGAGTCGCTAAAAGAGAAGGCCTCTGGAAGGTGCTCTGGCAGTGACGTAAAACTCTTAGTTATAACTTAATGCTACTTGCAGTGCAGTAGCTGTGTCCTTTTCCACAGTCTGTCAACACTGCTGCTCACTAACACATTTCTGTTTTGTTCTTGCAAGACTGGTAGTTGTGGGGGGGTTCTTGCAAAGGCAGGCAACGGCAGTTCTCCTTCTGGGCTTACAGATCCAGGAATGAGAGATCTCCTGCGGGTGCTAGGAACCGCCCCCGGTCAAAACGAGCACAGCGGGGCGGCCACTAGGCCTGAGGAAGGTCACGTGAGTGGGGTTGGAGTGGTGGAGGTAGGGGGAGGAGTGGGGGCCTGGCCGGAAATGTTCTGGCCCTGTACCTGCAACGGAAGGAAAGAGCACTTAGTGGAACTCAAAACACCATCTTAGATTCTATGCACCAAAGTCAAGCTCCCTGTATTTTTTTCTACTTTAAATGTCAAGATCAGATTACTTAAATAGTTGTCTTTTCTATTTCAACGTCAATTAAAAGAACGGTAAGCCTGAATGAGTCCATTATCCAACGCAATCCTACTTCCTTATCAAAATTGCCCGACTCCTTTGCGTAATACTTACGGAGTGTAAAATGAAGTTGTCATACACTTGGCAGAGATCACTTAAGTGGTATTCCTCCAGCACCACGAAGCCCTCGAGGCGCGGGGCCTGGCGACGCGCGCAGTCTATGCAGTGGACCACATGGCGCCGCTCCTGCTCCTTCACGAACAGGATATCAAACACCTGAGGGAAAGACAAAGGAATGAATATGAGATACTCCAGGAAATATTCCAATGTGTAACACCTAGAACAAAAAAATCCAGTATGTATTTACTGAAACTGAGAAAGAGAACATTTTACAGGGAAATCCACAGCTTGAGTGCCTTACCTCGACCTCACAAACACCGCAATAATGAGATGCTTCATTGGGATTGCGTCCGTGGAACTTGGTCTCGAGGCCACACTGTTTCACGAAGTCCAATGACAAACACACCTGGCGGAGTGCGCGCATCAAGCAGCCCCTAGAACGAAGGAAAAAAATCTAACATTAGCATACTAAACCACATCATTCTTGTTCTAAAGATCCGATTAAATTTCAAAAGCAAATTTTCACAAGGATTCTCGTCTCAGCAGATAATCTGAAACAGGTAATGCCAAGCGCACGAAAGCTTACTTGATTGCTTCGAAGAGCTTCGGGTCAGACACTTTGATGTTCCTGGCGAGGTTCCACGACAGGTGGACGAGGGGAACGATGGACTTGAAGCCCTGCAGCTTGTTCCATTCATATCGCTCCAGGCCCAAAGTGTACTGTCTGGCTGTAAGTGGGCCTACATTCCAGGCAATATTATTGCACCAACCGACTGCCTGAACCCAATGAACACATCCTGTTGAGGGAGGGTAAACGATTACAAACATGGAATAGTAATGTTGACGAAACAAGCATTTCCTTTCTTGAAACCCAAGGGAATCCACACTGAACCGACATTACTGCACACGACATTAAAGAAGCCCATAAATTCACAGAGCCACACTTGCCTGAATTAACCCACACCATATCGCCCGGCTTCTGATGGAAACGATACACTGGTACATTCTCATCGTAGAGTTCTTGCAGATCTGGCCACCAGGAACCGTGCAAATAATTGGTTCTATTTCTGTAAAAAAAATGAAGAGTATTAGTTCTAGTGTCTGGAACGAGTCAGTTAAAAAATAATAATAATAAAAATGTAACTCAACATGGTACTTCCAATGGCACTAAATTTCAGCAAATTATTCACCCAGACAAATCACGACTCGTTAAGAATCAACTACTTACTTCTCACAGAGATTGGCTATGACTCCCCAATAGGCATCGGGCACTCCAAACCACTCGCAGTCTCCAGGCCCAATGTTAATGTTGATGGAACAGAAGTTGTTATTCTCCTGATGACCTGGTGTTCTGGCCCCTGGTACCTGCGGCAACACCAAATGAACTTGAAAACTTGTAACAAGACATAAAAAGGCCTCATGACTTGAGGATACATGAGTTAAACACTATTTATTCTTAGAAAATGATCACAAATACTTATATATATCGCGGTTTCTTAAGAAGGATATTCATTATATGTCATCTTACACAGCATAAACAGGGATCCATATACTAACCTTCATATATAGTTGTACTGTGTTCATGCCCAGAATGGGATGTCCAACATGAGACAGCATATTCCCTGCAGAAACCACTCTGGCAAAGGCTGGCAATTTCATGAGTTCTTGCAGCTGAGCTCTCCACTTCTTCTCGTCCGACAGATCGACATTGGTTCCGAATTTGATCATTTTCTGGACCTTCTTCTTTTTGGAGTCGTCCGTCTTCGGCGCCCCGGCAGCAATTCTGTCCTGCTCCTCCTTCAGGCTCTCCTGGAAGCTCGACGCCTGGTACTGGGCGTATTTGGCGATGGTGGTGTGCGACCTGTGGCTGATGCAGGGCCAGGACTTGATCTCCGTCGTGGGGTCAATATTCTCGTCAGCCTCCTGCTTCATCTGCGTTCGAACCTCAACAATGTGTTCGGGGTTGGCCTCGACCAGGGTCTTGGTGGAGAAGAGCCCGAGGTCCAACTTCAGAGCAGATGCCAAGCCTCTCACAACGGCAATGGGGTGCTGCAAGCAGAACTCTTGCAGCTGAGGTGAAAATGCAAGCTTTTTGTTGTCAAGCAAGACCGAAGGCGTGTTGGGAAGCAGCTGTTCGTTGGTTAGCTTCACCTTCGGGGGGTCGGGTGGCGACGGTGGCAACTGCTTGTCTGAGATCATGCTGCTGTTTCTCGCATTTGCGCCTCGGCCCTTGCAGCCTGACACGATGTCTGAGCTGGCCATGTTCGTCGTGAACACAGGCTCCGACGCCTGTTCCACTTTTATTTCGCGATCGAGGCTTAGTCTGATGTTACTAATGCGTGGCTTAGTCTCTGGTACGTGTGTTTGTGTGGAGAGTTTTGTGTCGGGAACTTCCTGCTTAATATAAGAGAGTCCTGACTGTATGGGGGCTTGAACGACATCCGTGGAAGGAGCCGACGTGGTGGACGACGACGTGGCCGAGGTGGAGAACTCGGTGTTTGGCAGAGCAACATCCTGGCCCACGTCTCCTGCCTTGGCTAGCTCGTCTATGACATCTTCGCCCTGTGCTAGCCGGTTCAGTAAATCCTCAGCTAAAGAAGTTGTGAATTCTCGTTGGCTGATGAGTTCCTGAAGTTCCTGGTCACTAACAGTGGTCTCTGGTGTGACGCCAGTAAGGTCTCTTGGTAATGCTTCATTCACATTATTACTATTGTAGCCGTTATTGAAGCCATATCCTGCAGACGTTGTTGGTACTCCTCCATTGGTGTACGATGGAGTCTGGTTGATATATCCACCAGTTGAGGAAGGTTGCGAGAAGGGCTGATTGTTCTGGTTGAAATTGCTGGTAGGCGTCTGAGGTCTCTGCCCAATGAAGCCTCGATTGACACCGTTTGTTGCTGCCTGAGTGAATCCTGGCGCTCCTGGCACCACTGGCCTCGCCATCTGTCCACCGGCAACGAAGTTCTGCTGCTGGCCAAGGCTGGGGGACACCTGGGGACCTTGAACAACGGTTTGTTGCTGCTGCTGCTGTTGGTGCTGTTGTTGCTGCTGCTGTTGCAACTGCTGCTGCTGATGCATTTTCATCTGGTGCTGCTGCATCAGGCGGAAGTTCTGCTGGAGCTGCTGGAACTGCTGCTGCTGCTGTGGTGTTAGGCTTGCTTGGTTCTGCTGCTGGTAATGTAGAATCTGCATTTGCTGCTGGTTGAGGTAGAAGTGCGGTCGCTGTTGGTCCCCGGCGATGTCGGGCTTGAAGCGCTTGGCGTCGTTGCCGGGCGCCTGGTAGGGGGGCGGGGGGGCTCCTGACCCAGAGTGGCTGTACTGCTGGCCATACTTCTGGAAGGAATTCTGGCCTGGGCCCACCTGCCGCTGCTGGCTGGCGATCTGCTGGCCCTGGCCCTGGCCCTGTCCCTGCTGCCTGTTAGACATGTCTGTAGTGACGGGTAAGTTCCACGCCTCCTCAATGCTCATCAACTGACGAGGTTTAGTTACGCTGGGCATGGGGGCATTTGCCAGCTGCTGCTGGAGAAATTTTATACGCGGAGCAAGATTTGGATTCACGGGTTTGTTGCTACCTCTCGTAGCGTTCATGTAACACGCCAGGGCATCGCGTGGCTGGTTGCAGGTCTCGTACAGAATCCCTAGGTTTGTCCACGCGGCTGTGTGTCCCTTGTCGTACTGTACTGCGCAGATGTATGCTTGAAGGGCGTCGATTGGCTGGTTCTGTTGTTGGTAAAGTACTCTGGGAACAGAGAGGCTTCTGTTTAGAAATGGATGACACTTGCCAGTTACTTAACTATTTAAAGGAGAGAGATATGGCAAAGCAGCTGTCTAACCAATAAGCATAACTCTGTTCACATCTTTTCTACGTACGCATAGCAAAATTTTACTTCATACAAAATAAAATACTTTATGATATTAATAAGAATAATAATAGTACTCAACATCATCATAATAGTGATAATGATAATGTTAATGATGATGATGATAACACCAACAATACCGCAAATAAACAGGCATTCACGAGGAGCAGACTCACCCTATTGAGCACCACGTGTCCGCATTGCCCTCGCACTTGTCCACGGAGTTCCTGTAGGCGATGAAGGCATCGTGCACCTTCCCAAGGGCAGAGTAACACCGACCCAGCAGGTACAGGCTCTGGCCGCTCTTGGGGTCGGCCTCGATGGACTTCTGCAGGTACTGGACTGCGGTCAGCTCGCGGTACGACTTCTCTCCCAAGCTGTCAACGGTGTGGTACATCCATCCCAGCTGGCGTTGGATGTCGGCCCGCAGGTGGTTGGGCAGCTCCTGCTCCTGCAGAAGGGTCTCGTAGGCCTCTCGCGCCGCCCGGTGCTTGTTCTGGAGCTCGTACAGGTGGGCCACGTGGAACCTTACTGGAAGGGGCAACAGGGGCCGGTTTAGCGCGGGTCAGACCTTCAAGGAATTGTCAGAGCGACTGGACAGAGCGACACTTGACGTGCAAAAGGCATGAAGGAGAATGAAGCTCTTCGTCACCGGCAACAAAAGCCGATTTCGCTCCAGGCCAAACATTTAAAGTCGCAATCACCAGAGCAACTGGACATTACAACACTACTTCACATTAGAAAACTATGTATCACATCATTCAAATTTCAAAAATCAGTCCTACTACAAAATACCAACACACGAAGAAAATAAAACCCGAAGAACATCAGAAAAAAAAAGAAGAGCCAAAAACACCAAAAAACAAAATCCAAAGCCAACTCACTCTCCAACTTGGAGAAGGACGCCGGGCCAGCGTCTATGAGCGCGGACTGGAAGTGTTTCAGCGAAGACTCGTAGTCGCTCTGGACCTTGAACATCAACCCCAGGCGCAGATGGACTTCATTGGCTCGGCTGAACCCGGGATCAATGTACAACACTTGCTGGAATGCTTTGATGGCCCTGCGGAGGAGAAAGAAGACGCCATTAGAGGAATAATAAAAGTAATACAAACACATCCATGAAATACAATTACAGTAAAATAATGAACACTCAATACTGATGCAATGATAGTACAAGAGTTTTTTTTTCCTTTCAAAATAATGAACACCGACAGAAAATGTTTCGTCCACCATCAGCTGTTCCAACATCCTCCCAAGAAAAAAATTCGAGCGCCAACATCTTCCGAAAGCGTCGGGCGGCGGCAGAGGGGGCCCGTCCGCGGCGATTGGCCACGGAAGAAGAAGTATACAAGATAGAAAGCAGAGAGAGAGAGAGAGAGAGAGGAGAGAGAGAGAGAGAGAGAGAGAGAGAGAGATAGAGAGAGAGAGAGAGAGAGAGAGAGAGAGAGAGAGAGAGAGAGAGAGAGAGAGAGAGAGAGAGAGAGAGAGAGAGAGAGAGAAGAGAGAGAGAGAGAGAGAGAGAGAGGGGGGCAATCTGAATGATGATGAGCGATGAGCGAGCCAGTGATTCACACGCACCCAGATTTCCGGTTTCGTTTACGACCACATACGCGCACGCGCGCCCACGCACCGGCTGTGGCTTCACAACGACGGCTGCTTTGAGCGACAGGAAAGGGTGAAGGGGGGGAGCACCTGCAAACGCCCCCCCCCCGGGCCTTCCATCGCCGGGAAAGGTCGGCCGCAAACCTTCCCTCCGCGGCTCGACTCCTCCCCTCCTTCCCAGCAACGCCACGAAACGAGCATCCCCCCCCCTTCCCCCAGGGTCCCGCCCTCCTCGCGCGAAGGAGTCGGAGGATTCGAGGAAGAGGCGAGGCGAGGCGAGCGCGCGGCGGCTTCCGAAAAATCCGATCCTCTCCCTGGCGGAGCTCCGCGTCCTCCCGAGCGAGCCACGCGCGCATCCACGGCCACACGCGCGCGCGCGCGCTCGAAAAGAGAGAAACAGCGGCCAAAGCCGCGTGCAATCCCCTCGGAAATAAAAACTAGGAAGTAATTAGGTTAAGAGCGTGTGGCGGCGCGAGTACGAGTGAATGAGTGCGAGTGATAGTGACGGCGGCGTCAGAGGCGCTAATCTCGGAGTGGGCGCGGCGGGGCGGGCGCGCTGCTCCCGGCCGCGTGGAGGCAACAGGTGGCAGACCCTCCCTGCCTTCACCTGCCACGCTCTCGCACGCACGCACGCACGCACTTCCCTCCCGACCGCCGCTGTCCCTCCGCAGACCTTGGCGCAGAAGACAGCCTCGCACGCCCTCGGAAGCCCCCTCGCGTTCCCGCCCACCGCCCGCCGCCCCTCGCGAGCTCTCTGCTATCGATACTGCTTTCATAATACACAACGAGGATGAGCTGGCGGCTGCGGGCGGGGCGGGCGGGCGGGCGTGGGCGGAAGCGAGGGCTCGTCGCTGCCGGATGCTTCCTTCGCCGCCCACCCGCACGCCCGCACGCCCTCGCCGTCGGTCCGTCTATCTACCCGTCTCTACTTACCTCTTCCCTCCCTCATGCTTCCCCTATTCAGTCCTCCCGCTCTCCCTCTTCTCCCCTTTCTCCCTCGCCCCTCGCTCTCTTCCGCTCCCCCTTTCCCCTTCCTCCCTTCTCCCCCACTCCTTTCCCCTTCCTCATCCCTCCCTCCCTCCCTCCCTCATTCTTTCCCCTCCCCCCTCCCCCCTCCCCCACCTGGCGCGCATCGGATACCAGGTCATGCTATTTAACCCGGCATTTACCCCCCCCCCCCCCCGCCCCCCGCCGGGTGACTCACGGCTCAAATGCCTCTGGTTGCAACACGCGGATTTCCTTCCTATCTGATTACAGCCCGAGGCTTATCTTATCTTCTGGAGCGACACCCGCCCGCTCGGCGTGTCCTCGCGCCCACGATTACTAATTCACGATCAGCTGCGAGTCGAGCGCCCGAACAAAGAACGCAGGCACGCACACGCACGCAAGGACTCACGCACCTCGCACTCTTCCCTCCCCCTCGCCCGCAGCGGGGAGCCCCCCCCTCCGCCCGCCGCCTCCCGCCGGGGACGCCTCCCTGGCCGAGGGGCGCGGCCCCAGCCTGCACGCCCCTGCGAGCGCGGCGGCCGACGGGGCTTCCCTGCCGAAGGGCGCCCGCGTCGCGTCGCGTCGCGTGAAACATGTTCTGTTTATGAATCCAATCATCGCCGGCTGTTCGAGGCCATTTAAAATTAAAAAGAGTCGATTGTTGCGTAACTCGCGCGCGCGCGCCAGCCCGCTCAACAGCTGAGTGCGGCGCGCGGGCGAGACCTCCCCCTCGAGACGAGGAAGAGGAAGAGAGACAAACAGAAGGCACAGGCGTCGCGGCGGTGGCAACACGGGCGCGCACACACACGTTGGCAACTGTAGGCGAGGAGGTTGGCGTACGACCGCCTCCTCCCCGAGCTATTGTTCTAGGCCCCTGTCCCGTACCCTCACCCTCACCCTCACCCTCACCCTCACCCTCACCTCGCTCACCCTGCCGCCCTGCACCCGCCGCCCCAACCCTTCTCGCTCTCCTCCCGCTCTCACTACATTGTGCTAATAGGGCCGCCGTCCCCATCGCCGACACCACTTGCTCCCTCGCTCCCTTCTCCCTCTCTTCCCCCGTCCCCCCCTCCCTCCCTCCCTCCGTGCCCCCGCTACGCTTGGTGTCCCTCTGGCGCAAGCACCGCCAGCAATGCATCTCTTTAAAACGGGCTCGTGAGAAGAAGAGTCGAGAGAGGGAGCGAGAGGATCTCGTCTCTCTCTCTCTCTCTCTCTCTCTCTCTCTCTCTCTCTCTCTCTCTCATCTCTCTCTCTCTCTCTCTCTCTCTCTCTCGTCTCTCTCTCTCTCTCTCTCTCTATCTCTCTCTCCTCTCTCTCTCAGCAAACCCCCTCCCCTCGCCCCCCCCCCCCCCCCCGAACCCCAAGTCACAACCCATAAAATCCAGATGTGTTAATACGCCGCGGAGAGGATGACCGCGGCAGGGGTGGGGGTGGGGGGGGGCGAGCAGACACACCGCCCAAGAACTTTCGGGGGAAAAGCTACAACCGCCAGACACTCCCAACAACAAATAATTCCAATCGCACGACAAGAAAATAAAAGCCACAATGACGGGGGTTCTTCGAAGCACTCTGGGAAAAATTATTAAATAAAAAAAAAATGACACACCAAGAGGAAACGCTCAGGGAGTCATTCCTCTCGGTTCCTCTGACAAACTTCCGCCCACGAGAGAGAGAGAGAGAGAGAGAGAGAGAGAGAGAGAGAGAGAGAGAGAGAGAGAGAGAGAGGAGAGAGAGAGAGAGAGAGAGAGAGAGAGAGAAGAGAGAGAGAGAGAGAGAGAGATTGGTGGGCGAGTCACTTGGGTAAACGGGTGAGAGTTTGGGTGAGTGAACGGAGGAGCCAGTGCGTGTGTGCACGAGTTGGTGAGAGTGAACGAGAATGTGAATGAGACTGAGTTCGTGAGTGAACGAGAGAGCGAGAGAGTGAGTGAACGAGAGTGAGTAAATGGGTGAACGAGCGTAAAGTCCACGAACTGGTGCGAGTGACTGGACCAGGAGTGAACGAGCGACCGAGGGGGACACACGAGCACACGCCCCGACGGAGCTGAAGGCAGACCGCCCGCCCGCCGCCCGCCGACACGCAGGCAGGCAGGCAGGGCGGAGCGCAGGAAGGGGCCCGTCGTAAACCGCGGTGGGCCCGAGGACCGACGGCGCCCGAGGACCCTTTGCGGCGAAGGGCAATCCCCGCCGCACTCGCCGCGGGAGGTTAGAGTCACGGTTTATGGCGGTTGCGCTCCGGCCGCACCGCTTCACCTCCCGGAAAACGACAGACACGCAACGGAGAGAGAAACAACACCAACCACTCCACACAAACAACCAAACGGCCTCTTCCCACCTCCCGCCTCCACGTACAACCGGTGCACACGTCCCCCACAGTAAACAGTAAACCAACAACATCAAGCAAAAAAAAAAAAAAAAAAAAAAAATCGACACTCGCATCTCCCAAGACACGACCATAAATAATTTCCCCGCGACCCATCCGAGGCCATAAAAGCGGGGACGACGACGCGGCGGGAGGAGCCGAGCCCAGCGCTCTCGCGGCCCCGGACGCCCTCGGGAGCGCCTCCTCGCCCTCGCCCGCCCGCGGATTTTACAACTTCGTACCATTTCACACGCCCTCGCTCGGGTATCTCCGGAATTCCAGTCGTATCTCCCGCAACAGATATGAGAGAGAGAGAGAGAGAGAGAGAGAGAGAGAGAGAGAGAGAGAGAGGAGAGAGAGAGAGAGAGAGAGAGAGAGAGAGAGAGAGAGAGAGAGAGAGAGAGAGAAGAGACAGAGACAGAGACAGAGAGAGAGAGAGAGAGAGAAGAGAGAGAGAGAAGAGAGAGAGAGAGAGAGAGAGAGAGAGAGAGAGAGAGAGAGAGAGAGAGAGAAAGAGAGAGAGAGAGAGAAACCCAAAAGGAAAAAAAACAAAACATGACGTACCCAAAGACACGCGATTTCCAGCACCGCGGCGCCGAGGGAACCACGCCACAGGAGAAGCAGAACCTCCCAATTCTATCGCCTCGTCCCTGTGATAGGTCCCCCACCCCCTTACCCTCCGTCCACCAGCCCCTAAAACACACAAGACACCCCCTCCTTCCCCCCACAAAACCCCCCTAACGCCCCTGAACCGAACCCCGCAACCCCGTCCTCGACAAACAACGCTCGACAACCTACCCGCGCGACGACCGTCCGGAGCACCTCGCCTGCTCCCCCTCCGCTCTGCTAATGGCCCGACGACGAGGAGAAAGCCCCTCGCCCCGCACCCTCGTCACCCTGCCCGACCTGACCTGACTCGACCTCAGGCCATGTCGCGAGCTTCCCGACATCCTTTCCCTCCCTCAATTACCCCGGGGGACGATCCGCGACGCCTACTTGCCCCCGAGGACGAATCGGAGAGCAAACACCCATCCCCTTGGTCTAAGCTTCATACAGACCCCGACGGTTCATTAAGGCTTCTCCTGGGGAAGGTAAGGACAGGGGGGGAGAGG